ATCTTTTCGAAGACTATCACAGCGGAAATTGGAGTCATATCAAGAGACGATCTTTGTTCAGAGACGCGTGAACATATCAAAAAGAAGCTCTTTGTTTAGAGACGAGTGCAGATCGAAACAGCAAGGTGGCGTTCCCTGGATTATGGAGAGTAGTCACAAACAACTTAGGATTGTTTCAAGAGAAGCAATCTTCGATAGTATTCCCTTGGATGTGGAATATTATCAAAGCGGAAGAAGATCGTTTCAGGCAAAGAAGTCTTCTATGTTGAAAGAGGTTACAGGCGTAGCAGTTTTCAAGCGGGATGGCATTCTCTGGCTTACAGGAGGTCATCAAAACAGTAAAGCGACAACAATTGGTTACTTTCAGTGACGTGTGCTCGATGGTGCAAGATACGTGCTTCTTAACTCTCTTATCTGTTTAACTAACACTAGTTTGCAGGTATCGGCGTTACAAGAGTGACTTAGGATCGCAGAACGTTCTGAATCATTCACCGTCCCTATCGATACTTTGACTTTCGTTTTTGAAACTCGCATTTCTCCAAACTCAGTCAAAGTGGGGGCTTCTGTAGACACCCATTTGTGTCTCCCCAAAACCAAACCCGGTGATGAGTACCTTTCATGTCGAATCATAATCGAACGAAGTGAAAGTGTGGAAAGTTTAGTGTTGCGGATAGTTTTAATTTCTTTTCTTTTCTCTTTGTTTTTGAAAACTTATTTTAAGAAAACAGCCAATCCAGTTTGGTTGGTCCATGATATGGGTCCAATAGTAGTGTAGTTGGATGGGGCTTGACAAGAGCTTTCAAGCGTTATATATTATAAGCCTGATTCCAAAGAATATTGAGGAAGTTATGGCCAAATTACTAAATTGGGCCCGGTTTGAGCCTTATATGCGGCCCAATGATCTAGGGAGGGCCTAATATGATTTATCATTCCTAATTCAATTAGGAATGATTTTAGTCTTCTAAATTCTTCTAGAAGGTTCTTTTCATTCCTAATTCAATTAGCATTGATAAATTGACTTTTGTTGACTTTGTAGAGTTTTAATTAAAATCAAAGAGCATTTTTGAGGAAAAGATACGATTTTATCCTCATATACGGCAAAATTTATATGATTTTAGAAAACGCGTCAAAAACAGGATTAGCGCTTGGCGCCAGCATTGGCGCTTGGCGCCAATGGCCAATTCCTGGCGCCAATCTCGTTTTGCTTGCGCCAGACTCTGTTTTTTTAATTTTATCTTTTTGGCTGATTTTCTCTATATATAACGTTTTTAAAACTCCGTTTTCATTCACCAATTCTCATCAACATTCATATATATGCACCTACAACTAGTTTTCAATTCTCTTTCATTCTCTTTAATCATTCGCTAATTCTCATCAAAATTTCTTTAATCATTCATTCATCTCTCTCTCTCTTTTTCTAAACATGCTTTTACATACAAAGATCCGCATTCATTAGATCTAGAAACACCTAGCCATATTCGAAGTTGCCTTTTCCCTAGACGTGAAAGGTTTAATTTATGAGGGTTTTGTCCCAAATCTATCTTTCCATTATTTAATTTAATTGTTTTGTTTATTATTTTCCTTGAAGTTACTAACGTGTGTATTTTGTTATTAGAAAGAGGTACGATGCATCAAAGTAAGTGTTTTAATGGTTTTTATTGATATTATGATGTTTAAAGCATGTTTAAATTGTTATTATGATATTCCTAGTATCATGTTTAGGGAAAAGGTTATAATATCAAATATGCTAAATATGACTGTTGCGATGCCTTTTATGTTCTTTCCTAATGTTTATGATTGTTAGTATCATGTTAGGGTTAAAGATTTGATTTTTATTGCTTAGTGACATGCAAGGGTTTGTTATTAATCTTGTTAGTATCATGCCTAGGATCTTGCTATTATTATGCTTTAATATTAACATGAACATGATTATTATTATAATTGTTATATATTATTATTATTATTATTATTATTATTATTATTATTATTATTATTATTGTTATTATTATTATTATTATTATTATTATTATTATTATTATTATTTTGATGATGATTATTTTATTTATGATGATTATGATTATAATTTTATTATTGCTATAATTATTATTATTAATATGATTGTTATTATGATAATTATTGTTTTGATGATTATAATTATTATTTATTGATTATTTATTATGTTGCTTGATACATTATTTATTGTTATTGCTTGATCACACATTTTAATGCATGTTTAAAGGGAATTGGTACTTGTAATCATGCTTAATAAGATAATTAATAATCTTGTTAGGGCTAATTTGATTATTACTAAAGCGATCGCCAATAATAGTTTTATTTGTGGATTAATATTCAACCAACATAGATAAACAGGTTTAGGGTTAATCCTATTGATTGCATGTTAGTCGAAAAGCGCACATGAATACGATCAAAATAAAGTAGAGGCCTATTATTAGGGCAGGTTTAATCACTTTTAGGTTGGATTTGTACCTTCATCCCCGAACCCTTATTTGGTTCTAGACCTTATGGAGTTGACGATCTCTTGGATCGTTAAGGGGTGTAACCTTCACCCTGTGAACGGTTTACAAGTTCCTAAAACTTGTTGGCGACTCTTTTGCTCTATCTTCTTCCCTTTTGGACGCCACCGTAATTTAGTGTATGATCACAGTGGGGTTCAAGCTAGGGGATTAACTCTTGAAATTATTCCCTACTACCCTCTTTTTATCGTAGGTAGAAATTGTAACTTTATTCAAACGCAAAAAAAGCGGGTTCGCAGTTCGTCATCAAGTGGCGCACGCAAGTTCTGGAGTTGCGCGAGCTTGTCACGCATGACGAAATTAGTTGCGCGCGACATCTGTGCGCAACTATTCCAATTGCGCGCAAAACCTAGAACGGTTTATTAATTCTAAATTACCCCCCAAGTCTTATGTATTTGACAGTGTTATTCGGTAAAATGCATAACAGTTAGAATCTTTCAATCGAATGCTAATTAAAGTAGGTTGTATGAGTGAATGAGTTTTATCCGGATTTCATGTGTAATATTTCTTAAGGTGATCAATGTTTAATAATTGGCGAATTTCATCTCCTCCATTATCCATTAATACGACGGCTCCTCCGGATAGGATTTCAATTACCCGGTAGGGACCTGTCCAATTAGGTTAGAATTTCCCTTTTGGATCGGTTGGTGGACCCCTAACCTCCTTTAGTACAAAGTCACCTTCTTTTATATTTCTACCCTTTACCTTTTTATTAAAATGACGCGCAATGCGCCTTTGGTAGACTTGTACATGACGCAAAGCTCTTAATCGTTGTTCATTTAGGAATAAAAGCTCTTCATAACTCGCTCTTACTCATTCAGCTTCCGATAGCTTACTTTCGAGTACGATGCGTTGGGATGGTATTTCCAGTTTGACTGGTTGAACTGCGTCCATTCCGAAAACTAAGGAGCATGGAGTTACCCCTATTGATGTTTGTATAGACGTTCTATAACCCCATAATGCAATGTGTAGTTTATTCGGCCAGTCTTTGTAATTTTATGCCATTTTCTTAATGATGACTATTATATTTTTTTTTTGCCGACTCTACCGCTCCATTCATTGGAGGTCTGTATGGGGATGAGTGATGATGTTTTACTTTATAACGAGTTAAGAGGGTCTTGACTTCATCTTTGAAATGAGATACTTGATCACTAATTAGTTCATGTGGAACTCCATATCAACAAAAGATGTTTCGTTCGAGAAACTTTACGACATGTTTAGAAGCAATCCACTTAGTACTATAATCAATGGTAACTAATACGTACTCGTGCCCTCCTGGTCCTGTTGGAGAGACTTTTCCTATTATGTCAATTCCCCAAGTTGAAAAAGGCCAAGGGGAAGTGAGATTATATAGTTCGGATGGTGGAAGGTGTTGTAAATTAGCGAACATTTGGCACTGTGGACATTTTTTAACATATTGTATGCAATCATGTTCCATAGTGGACCAATAGTACCCTTTCCGTGAAATTATTATTGAAAGCATTTTACCATTCATGTGAGGTCCACAAACACCTTTGTGAGTATTTTCCATAAGGCGTGTGGCTTCCGGTTGGCCTTTTTATAGTAAGCTTTGACCATTAGGTCCTTTTTTGCATAATTGACCATTTATTAGACCATATTGGGCCACAAGTGTTCGTAAGGCTCGTTGGTCTTTCGATAAAGTATTTTCGGGATATGTGCTATGAGTAATATATTGGAGGATATGATCATACCAAGGATTGTCTCCTTCAATGTCATTTAATTCCTCTATTGCATTACAATATGCTGATTCTTCTCTTCTATCAACGCATAATGGCCATTTTATGGTCAAGAGACGAGTTTGGTTTTAAATTGGGAAAAGTGTCATTTTATGGTCGAGGAGGGCATTTTCCTCGGCCATAAGGTTTCAAAAAATGGCATTGAGCTTGATCCGGCCAAAGTTTCGGTGATTGAAAAGTTGCCCCCTCCTACTTCCATCACTAGGGTACGAGCTTTTGTTGGGCATGCCGGTTTTACCAGAGGTTTATCAAAGTTTTTTCATCAATTGCCAAACCATTGACCGAATTACTAAAAAAGGAGGTTGTTTTTAGCTTCATTGAGGCTTGCCTGGAGGCATTTTGTAAGCTCAAGAAAGCCCTCATTTCTTTTCCCGTTGTGCAAGCTCCGGATTGGAGCTTGCCTTTTGAGCTAATGTGCGATGCTAGTGACTTTGAAGTAGGTGCAGTTCTTGGTCAAAAGAAACAAGGAAAATCATGTTTTATCTACAATGCAAGTAGGACTCTAGATGAGGCTCAAAAGAATTACACAATAATGGAGAAAGAGATGCTAGTGGTAGTGTTTTCATTCGATAAGTTTCGGTCCTATCTAATATGCTCAAAAGTTATTGTGTACACGAATCACATCGCGGTGCGATATCTCATGACCAAGAAATAAGAAAATCCTCGCTTGATCCGTTGGGTTCTCTATCTCCAAGACTTTCACATGGAAATGAGGGACAAAAAGGGAGCGGAGAACTATGTAGTGGATCATTTGTCTAGGCTACCTTTTGAGAACAAGGAGGATGTACCGATCAATGATGAGATAGGATTCAAAGCTCTCATGGCTTTGGTGTCAACTTCTACCCCTTGGTACGCGGATATAGCCAACTATCTTGCGTACGAAGTCGTTCCCCCGGAGTATTCTTCTCAACAAAAGAAGAAGTTTTTCAAGGAAGTGAGAAGGTACTTTTGGAATGACCCATACCTATTCAAGCAATGTGGAGATGGCCTTTATCGGAAGTGTATTCTAGATCATGAAATTCAAGGAGTTCTTGAGCATTGCCACTCACTACCATGTGGAGGACATGGTGGTGTTTACAAAACAGTGGCAAAAATCTCTCAATCTTTATTGCGGTCGCCGACAATGCATAGAGATACCCACCAATTCGTTGCGTAATGTGATAGATGTCAAAGGTGCGGAGGCATTACCAAGAGGGACAAAATGCCCGAACAAAGTTTTTTAGAAGTTAAACCCTTCGATGTTTGGGGGTTGGATTTTATGGGGCCTTTCGTTTCTTCTTGTGGAAATATATATATATCTTGGTAGCGGTTGATTATGTGACAAAATGGATTGAAGCTATAACCTCACCTACCAATGATCACAAGGTTATGCTTAAGCTTCTAAAGAAGATCATTTTTCCTAGGTTTGCAGTTCCAAGGGTGCTAATTAGTGATGGAGGCTCCCATTTCGCCAATAAGCAATTTGAAGCTCTTCTCAAGAGGTATGGCGTTCATCACAAGGTTGGATTACCTAACCACCCTCAAACTCAAGGACAAGTCGAGGTCTCAAATCGTGAAATCAAAAATCTTCTTGAAAGGATGGTGAACAAATCAAGGAAATATTGGTCTCTCAAACTTGATGACACAGTATGGGCTCTTAGGACGGCGTACAAGACTCTAATCGGCACGACCTCCCATAGGTTGGATTATGGAAAGTCTTGTCACTTGTCGGTTAAGTTAGAATACAAGGCTTGGTGGGCCATCAAAGAGCTAAATATGGATTTATCGGTGGCCGGTGAGAAGAGATTGCTTAAGCTCAATGAACTTGATGAGCTTAGAGATGATGCTTATGAGAGCTCATGGTTATATAAGGAGAAGGCCAAAAAGTGGCATGACCACCATATTCGAAACAAGAACTTTAAGGTTGGAGACAAGGTATTGCTTTTCAACTCAAGGCTTCTTTGTTTTCAGGTAAACTCAAATCAAAATGGTCAGGGCCTTTTGTGATATCAAAGACTACTCCTTATGGCTCCTTTGAGTTAGATGCGGATGGTAACAAGTTTATGGTTAATGGTCATCGTATAAAGCATTACTTTTGCAAGGAAGAAGTTGGTATCATTGAATGTATAATGCTTGATCCTTTGGATCCCAAGCCTCCCACTTGTAGAATTTTCCTCATGGTCAAGCTAGTGACCTCATAAAGAGGCGCTTCTCGGGAGGCAACCCGAGTTTCTAACTCCTTCCTATAATTTTTTTAAATATTCCGATTTCACTTTCTTCTATGAATTTGAATTTGAATTTCATTTTTCCCTTTTTGGATGATAGGTGTTTAGATGATAAAGGAGTAAAGGATTTTCTATATCGAAGATGAGAGGAGAAATAAATTGAATTTTACTCTGCGCGAGCCTGTGCGCGACTTTTGTGCGGGCGCGCAGTGTAAAGTGTGCGGGCGCACAGCCCTGTCAGAACCTGCACACTTTAATTAAAAATTGGAGATTCGAGACAGAAGGTTTGCACGACCTAGTGCGCGACCTCTATGCGGGCGCGGAGGAAAAGGTGTGCGGGCGCGCAAGCACTGTTAGAACTCGTACACTTTAATTCAAAATAGGAGAATCGAGACAGAAGGTTTGTGCGACCTAATGCGCGACCTCTGTGCAGGTGCGCAGGGAAAGGTGTGCGGGCGCGCAAGCATTGTAAGAACCCGCACACTTTTATTCAAAATTGGAGAATTGAGGCAGTGAGTCTACGCGACCTAGTGCGCGACCCCTGTGCGAGCGTGCAGCTTTCAGTGCGGGCGCGCAGAGCTGGGAAAATCGGGTTTTAACCCCTTCATCCCCATTTTTTCCTCATATTTTCGCAACTCTTTTTTCATGCTCTCTTCTATCTCCTCACAAACTCAAACCTTAACCTTCCAATTTCACCCATTTATCACAAATTCCATTGATTTTCCTTCAATTCCATCAAAAAATTTCACTTCACTCAAAAATTTACCCACTTTTTCTCTCCAAAATACCCAAAATCCTCCATTTTCATGGTGTGCAAGCATAGTTGAAGGTGGTGTTCTTGGGGGTTCTTAGTAGTGTTCAAGCTTCTACTAAGTGGTATAACTCTAAATTTTGCTATTTTATTACTTAGTTTCACTTGTTTATGCAAAATTTTTAGCTATTAAGCATGGATTAGCTTGAGTGAGTTTCATGTGATTTTGATTTTCTTTGTTAAGGATTTGTTGGTTATTAGTGTAATATTTAGTGATTTTGGGACATTGTTGTTAACATTAATGATTTGGAAGCTATTTTCATGAAACTAAGTTGAGCAATTTTGTGTTAGTATTGATGATAATGCATCTATTGTCATGAGAATTGCTTATTATCATAATGTATTGTGATTGAGTGCTTTGTTGTTGATTCTAGTTGTTTTTGGAGCTATATTTGTGTGTTAGTTGTTGGTACTAACCTTTTTGCAGATTGTTAAGGCTTGGGTTGTTGTTGTCTTGTTTCAATTATTTATTAGTTCGAAGGGAGTTCTCTTTTGGTTTGGTTGTTTGTATTTCTTGAGACCACAATGAGCAAAAGGAAGAGTAGAAAGGAGCCCATGTTAAGGGTTGAAGAACCAAGTACTCAAGCTCAAGGACCAAATTTTCCCCCTCGATTGAGATTCTTGAACAAGGTCCATGCTACTTTCTTTAATGACTTTCAAGGACAAAAGCTAAATCCCTCGAGACACTATGATCAACGCTCCATGAGAGCTTTGGGGATTGACGATGACATAAGGTCGCTCCTTGACAACTTAGGGATGTGTGAGTTCATCAAGCATCAATTTCGAACATATAAAGAGCCCACCTTTGAATTCTTGGCCTCATTTGAAAAGGAGCCTTATGGGAACAACGACTTCCAAATTTCCTTCTAACTGTTCAACAACAAGCACACTATGACTCTTAGTGATCTCAACACATTATTGGATTGGAAACCCGAGGCGGACCTCCTTGCCCCTTCATTGAGCATATTCCCAGAGTACGATGCATTTCGATGGTGGCAAACGATTACCGATTTTGAAGAGTTTAACACTAGGTATTTGGTGGCCAACCATATTATACAACCTGTGCTCCGTATTCTTCACAGCATTCTGGGGTTTGCGGTGTTTAGCAAGCAAGACTTGAGTAAGCTCTCGCATGAAGAGCTCTTTACTTTGTGGGTTGCCACTAGGGAGGAGTTGAAAGGGCAGCTCAACATGGGGTACGGGTTCGTCATGTGCTGCGAGGAAATCAAGTCGGGTCACAAGACGCGAGAAATTTCCCTTGGTGGGATGATTACAAGGATTGCTAAGAAATTTAACTATGAACGCTTCTTCCCCTCATGCACTCAAATTGGGTCCGACAAAGATCTATTGATTGACATACAACAAATGAGAAGGTCGGGGTTCCTCCAAGGAACTTCAGATGCCAACAATTTTCATGCTTGGATTATTGACCGCGAGCACCATTGTATCTTGCCTTACCCCAGCCGTACATCCTTGGAGCGGAACGCTAGGAATGTATGGAAAATTTCGCGAGACAATGGTGTGTTACCCACTACTTTGGGTAGCGCAAGGAATATGGTAGTCGAGCAACAACAACAACAACATCAACAACAACATCATAATTAAAAACATCAAGGCATGAGTAGCCTTGTTCAACAAATGATGAGCATGCAACTTGGCATGCAGAGCTTGATGAAGAACCAACAGGGTATGTTTATGCAAACCCAAGCTCTCTATGGTGGGCCGTGGATAGGAGTGAGGTCACCCCCCCGGTCAATTACCCCTATTGGCCACCCTAACAAGGCCCGGTCCCTTAGTGGAAGGGCCCTACTCCCACGCTGTTTCCCGGGTTGACTATCCGACGGAAATCGGGTACGATTAACGTGCCCCGGGGGGAGCGATTTTAGGGGTGACCCCAACTATCCATATTTCCCCTCTTCAGCTTCCCGCCCCTTTCGACTCATTGCCTCAATGGCAACAAGACCTCTTTTGAGGTCACTATGGTTGGCCTCCGGGTTTCACCGGTGGTTGGGACCCACACGGCATCCCTCTGGACATTTTCTCTTACGACACCGAGGATGAGGGAGATGATGAAGAAGCCGGCCCTAGTGGCCACTAGCCCCCCCTTGTTCTTTATTTCTCCCCTTTGCCCCCTCCCAATGTTTTAATTTGGCGCACCGTAGACGGTGCATTGTTTTAGTGTAGGGGTGTGTAAGAAGCGAAGGGATGTTTTTTTTATAGTGTAGGGGAAGGCTTGTCATCATGCTAGTGTGAGGGGGATTTCACTATAGGTGGTAGAGCTCTCATGGTTCGGTTGGCTTTATCATGTTTTGATGTTGATTTATCTCGTTGATTGCGATGATGATGTCGCTGGATGATTTTGATGAGCTTTTATTAATGAATTTTCTAGTGTTTGTGCAGGTTATGGCGCTCTTATGAAGAAAAATCCAAACACCCGATAGTCCAAATTTCCCTTAATCCAAATTTTTTTAGTTTGTTATTTTATTTCTATTTCTTCATTTTGTTTAAAGTCTTAGTTACTTTCTTTGACTTTTAACTTTTTTATTTATTTTTGCTTTATCTTAGTCGTTTCTTTCGATTTGGCTCACTTTTCAAGCTTGGAAATGGAGATAAAGGAAGTTAAGGGGCAAATCGAGCCCCCTTAGTGAGATTGCATAATTTATCTTGTCTTCATTTCAAGCGGCGTTAGGTGAGACCTTTCCTCTCTTTAATTTTTTTTTCTTTGGGTGTTTAGCTTAGGTTTAGCTTAGGATGAAATTGAATGGTTCGAGGATGTTTGCTTTTGATTCTATGGAACGTGGGATCGTTGATGTTGTTATCGAACGATCACTTGTTTGACGATTGGGATTTAATTGGATTATATGCCTCGTATATGAACCTTTTTTATTTCTTCCTCTTTCTTTTGTTTTGTTTTCCCCTTTTTGTGTTACAAGCATAATTATGACAATTTGAATTGATTTTTGATTTGTAATTTGGTCACTCTTTTGGATTGGTTTGCCTCTCTTGACGATGTGTCTTTGAATGCTTATCTTCCTAGTTGATGAGGGTTTACACGTTTTGAGAATGCTTTGTGTTGAATTAGACACATTGTAAGCTAAGGTAGCCCGGTATAGAAATTTTGAGGACGTTTGAACCCCTAGTTCACGGGAAAGTGGTAAGATGGTGTTGCTCTCTATGGTGGATAGGATTCCCCTGGTTGGTATTTTCTATATTTCTTATCCCGTGTGAGTGTCATTTGTTCTAGCCTTCATCATTCTTGTGAGAGACATTTAGGATCCTTGACTATGCATATCTTAATCTTTGTGTTGGCGTCTAGTTCCCAAGATCGTGACCATATAACTCTAGAGGAGGAAGAGGGCATTTCTTCTCATTTTTCTTTGTTTCCTTTGTGTTTTGTTACAAATTTGGTTTTCATTTTAACATTCACCCACTTTCTAACCAAATTGAGCCTTATTTCTCCTTTCTTGACTTAGCCATATGACAAACCTATCGGCCTATGTTCTACCAACCCTTATATTTAGTGAAGCATTGGCTTGTGAGGTTCGAGTTTGATAATGTTGAAATTGAGCAAGAAAGTTGTGTAATTTTGTTCAAGGTTTTGAAAGATTATTCATGAAAAGAGTATGCTAAAAGTTTTGGCAAGAAATTTGAAACTCATGAAAACCATGGAAAAAAAACAGTGAAAAAAAATATATGAAAAAGATTGAAGTAATGTGGTGTGGTTTGTTTTGAAAGGTTGTAAGTTTGAGAATAGGTTCAATTCTTAGAATGTTCTTGAGAGATGACCACTCTTATGCTTTAATTAGGAATTTCCACCAATATTTTCAAATTCTTTCCCAACCCCAGCCATGACATTACCACCCTACTTAAGACCCTTGGATTTTAGAGTGGCGTGGTCAAAGAGCGGTGGAGGGAGGTAGATTTCAACCCTATGGAGAGAGTATGCATAGTTGAGATGTCGGGATGACCTT